ATTCTCGCGATTTAATTTAACCTTCTCTTGAGACTGCAGCGCAGAGACCATTGTTCCGTATCGCATGTGACTATTTGGATTTAACGTTTTAATTACTATCTTCATTGCCTTAACGTTAGTATAATTTTTTGGATATCGAGTGTAAAAACGATTAGCGTCGATTAATGCAGGTTATAAACTATATTTCTTTAAATCAACAGATAGAAATAAAGGCGTTGACTTTTAATATTTTTAATCAGTGAGTTTGTTATGTGAGAAATATTTCGGATAACATTTTGAAAACTGTTAATTTGTTTGTGTTTATTAAATATCAAACCTAGTTCCACCGTATAAGAGGTAGGCTTTCTAACCATTTTACCATCGTAGTGCCATCCAAGATTACAAAGTTGAGAGCGTTTTAGTTGATTCGGATTAAATCTGTACTATCAAAGTTGTTACAGCTATGCTAAGAACTTTGGCATTAAGAGAGTACACACTAAAGTAATCTACAGAGAATTCAATTAATCTTAAAACTAATTGAAATCATCCATGCGTGATAAGAACAGACTAAAATCTATTAAACAGTGTCTACTAAAATAGAAATTACACGAATACATAATAATGTTAATACCAAGTTATCAGACATTCAAAATACAAAAATAAATACACACGATTTTTATTTAATGAAGTATTGTAATCCTACTTCTGAGAATAGTCTGGAAGAACACATACTTAACTTTTCTTTTTTTTTATTCTACACAAACGCGAGTCGTGGGTAAGAGATAGTCAGAGATATAATTTGTACCAAAATTTTAGATAAATCTATCATTAGATAGAGGGTGAAATTGTAGATTACACCCAAATTGACAAAATAAAAACAGTTTAATAATAATACCCTTTTCTTTATTATTGAAATAATGGTATTATTCAAATACAGATAGGCAGAACGTTAAGAGATTCAATTTCTAATTAGCAATTAAATTGTTTTTCTGCTCTATAAAGGCAAAGGTTAAATTACTTGGAAATACTAGTAACAATTAGAGCTTTTTTCTAGCGTATACTTAATTTGTATTCAACTTTTATTACAGTCTAATCTCTAGTTAATCCATTTCAATTTTTTTTTTATTAATATTAGTAGATTTTTTTTAGTTTACTAATATTTCCTTTAACCATCCCAACTAAGCTCTAGGCTTGTGCTAGGATATGGTTCACGATGTCGAATGGCGGGATTCGAACCCTCGACCTCAAGATCGAAAGTCCGTACCCCAAACCATTGGGCTATTAGCGCTTTAATGTAAATTCTAAAGAAAAACATAAATCGGAATTTTATATAATACTACCTGTTCCCATGCGACTTCATGATGGCTTTCACTTCACTTCATAATGGCGTTAATATATGTAGCCTAAAGCGTGACGCAAGTGTAGGGCTTTTTATTAAAAAAAGAATTATTCAAAAATATGCTGTAATTGCTGACATCTTAGGCAACAAAGAAGTGTGTGTTTACGCTTTATTATAATAGTATAGATTGTGTGAGATTAGTAATGGTTACATAAGACCTGCCTTTAAGGATATAGTATTTAGTTACATAATAGAATTATAGTTGGCCTTTTGTGCCGTACTTCTTAGAATGGATTTTAAGATACTTTACTATTTTTGTTGTAGCAAAACTGCCTTTATGACAAACATTGAAAAAGATTTAAAAACAAAAAAAGATTTAAAAAAGATTTATTTATAGTTACAAAATTTGTTTTAATACAATTTTTTACATATCCTACGCCTACGCTTTTCTTCTAAAGAAAAGATGAGAAGAAGAAGAAGATATGACGGAGGAGGCGACCATAGGAACTGGAATTGTCTATGCGTCCCCTCCGCCGTCGTTTATATATAGGATGTCTATAGGCAGCGGTAACTACTATTTTGGTGAATTCAGGGGACCAAAAGTCTAGAAGAATTCTGCACTAGGAAACTGCATAGTCAGTAAGAATAATTGAATCTAATTACAACTTATAAGTAATAATCTTTGGTAAAGTTTCATTGTTTTAATAACCAGAAGCTTGGGAACTTTGTGAAATAGAATCCTCCATTTTCATCACATCGCTGCTTTGGTATTTCAGTAAAATACTTTACTTGTGATTGCAAAAGTTGTGAACGGTTGACTTTCAGCGCTGGTTTTTCCGGCCTGATGTATTGTATGACACAAAAGCCTCTAGAGTTTCCGCTGGGAAATTGACAATACACGAACAACGGAATTTTAAGTTTAATCAATGTTAAAATCAGTGTAAAAAGTTGAAAAGTGTGTTGCGTACCGAAAACCTATTAATTCAGTTAATGAAAACTCACGGAACTGTTTATAATATGCTTTATTATTAACTTCAATTATGTTAAGCAAATGACTCACTTAATATAACTCGTTAGGTAATAATTAAGTAAGTTTTTCATTGCTCAGCCACATTAGGAAAAGGCCACAAGTATAAGACAAGGTATTTATGCATATTTAAGAATACAATATGTTCTATTTGGAAATAAAACGAATTATTTCGTATAAAATAAACAAATATAAAGCAAATTGACTTGACCTTTTCCGGGATCATAGGCTTGATGAAAACTTCAAAAGAAACCTTTAACGTAAATCACATTTTGTTTTTCATTTTGTCTCCGTTGATAACAAAATATACGCAATTATATTTGTCTCCAACAAGATTGTTATCTAGCGAGTTATACAACAAACCGCTCGTGAGTTTATGCTTTCGAAAGACGTCGTATTTGAAAGATATTGTTTTTTCAACAAAGTAACACAATCACTGTTATTTTTTTTATTTTATGTCATAACAACTGGAAAAAAATCAAGGCACAATAGTCGTAATGTAACCTTTCTCTATTAATTAAACTTAAATACTATTAAAACAAAATAATTACAGTTTACAAAGCACAGCTAGAACTAAGCCCATAAAATATTATTAAAGAGGAAGCATTAACAATTTAACTCAATACCTTATGAAAAATATAAAGCAAATATTTTTGTAATGTAAATGTGCTTAATGAAAAGGGATAAACCTTGTTTACCGGAAAGTTTTAAAGCTTTTCGCCTCCAAATTAAGTTTTAATCCTTATTGAGTTGATAAAATGTGTGCTCGGGGGAATCCTTTTCGAATTTATCTTGGATACGTTGGCCCACATCGCACTTGGCGGTGTGTTTTCATTTCGGATTTAGTTGGAAGTTCGCGCCAATCCGAACGTTACCAGCTGCGCTATTCCTAGAGGATATTTTCTTTTCCACTTTCGACGTGGGATCTTGACGACTGGCTTTTGTGATTTAAAAAGATTCGCTGAGGTAAAACCGCTTACCGTTACGTCGATATACGGCGTGTTTTGTCGATAAACGAGAACTATCCTATTAGATTCACGGTATACCGTAATACGATGAAGCTTAACACTATCATACCTGTAGCCATTACTTCTTACTTCACACATTCAGAACTTTTTAAACCACTAAAAGATAAATTTATCATTTTCAAATATATAATATCTATTGACATCATGAACTTGTATCCTTGTTATTTCTTATCTAATCATATAAAAGGGCTTTTCCACCATTAAGCTCTGTACGAAATAGAATTAAAGGTCTCAAAGTGATACGCCTACACATCACACGAGTATCTATTAGATAAGTCAACTGTAAATCGTAATAAGAAATTGTTTTAACTTCCTTTTATTACAGTTACAACCTTTTACAGTAATTTATAATTATTCATTCATCATTTATTTAAGACTTCGTTTAATTAGCAATAATTGTCAATGTAAGTTTACATAACTTATTTAGGTTTCATTAACATAGCTAACCTAACTAACATGACCTAAAGTCAAACCCATATCTAGAAAGAATCCTAAATCCTTCATGAGGTCATGAATTCATATTCCGGTAGGACTGTCAATGTTACGTCTTAAAGTTCCAATTGTTCTTTGTACAACTAGCTGTTGCTCGCGACTTCATCTGCGAGAGATTAAACAATATATCTTATATTACTCACTGACATCGTAGCTTTTTATTGGTAAAAGAACATTTGAAATCGACCCAGTATTTTTTGAGTTATTTTAATATATACAAGAAGTTGGTCAAAAATACAAATCTTTTCTCTTATAACATTAGTATAACGAGATTTTGTTACGCTATTTAGTTGTACTTACATACGTTAAGGAAGTATATATTTACCTGTTATTAGAACCAGTTAATTGTAAAAAACTATGCAAATGCTTTGTAGTATGATTTACATAGATATTATACGTAGTTTTTTAAAGAGGTATTCAGAAAACATCTGAATCTTCAATAGCATTTGACCTGTATTTGAGATATTTATTCGAATGTAACTGATGTTATCTCTTGACTTACATACATTTAAAACGCAGGTACATTTTATAACAACCCCCATACAACTGTTTAATCTGTTTTGAGGAAATTGATGATTCTGTCTTTTATGACACATTAGGAATTTCAAGTGGCAACAACATTTCATGACAAGTTCCTACTCGATACTCGATTTTATTAACTATCAGATAAACTGCACAGTTAAACTTTTCATTTATAACTGTCAGTTTGAACTGATCGTAGATATAGCGGGATTTAGTCATAAACGCTTCTCATAATAATCCATACATTATCTTAAACTAGTTGAATTTAAATCTATTTCAAAATGTCGTCCTTGCTAAATCCGTCTTGCTTTGCCATGGAATGTTTATAGAAGCGAAGTATATTATTCAATACTCTAAACACTGTTCTCATAAAACAGCTGTCTAACACCTTTACTTATCGGATGAACAGGGTTTATGCAAATTATGCTTGCGACACATTTGAAGCCTTGCAGTTTAATCGGATAACTTTTTGCAGTTTGTCATAAATAAATATTCGTAATATTGCAGTCCCGTAGTCGTACCATGTCATGTTAATTCTAAGAATTCGACATAAACATCAAATTTATAATACGTTGACTCCTAGAGAGTCGCTTAGGATTTTTGTAAAGCTTACCTTTAAAAACATAGCTCAATCTATCTCATACTGCATTCAGCAAAACACTAAGTCAAATCCACACAAACAGTAGGAAAATGCAGCTGAAAACAAGACTACGCTCATTCACATTTTAATACCACCGTTGTTTATCAAATGAATTTATTTATTTACATTGGTATGTCAATGAAAGGTTCGGACACTTTTCGAGGAAACTCCCGTATCGCGTCTATCTCTCGCCGACTATCAATAGACACTATGTTGGCTGTTTGAGGACGTGGTGCTAATGAAGGTTTAGTTGTCGCGGCGCAGGCAGAGGGCGCTGGGGTGCACGCGGCGGCTCGCGGCGGCGGCGCGGCTGCGACTGCGGGCGGGACACCCCTGCGCGCCGCCCGCCCTGCACGCGGGACGCCGGGACGCCGATACAAAATTAATACTTGTTTTGCTAAGAGCGATTTCGATTTGTCGACCCCCAAATTTGGAAAGTTTGATCTTGTTAGCAATTAAAGTTGTCTTAATATTCAGCGAGGAGTTTCTTCTCGCTCGACTAAGCCCGAAGCGACTTCTGGAAGCGCTTATTTCGATTCTGGAAGCAATTAAAGTTTGCTTTGCCTTCGTAATTTTAATTTTTACTGAATATATTACTGTTAGATATATTTTTCGTGAATTACAAATTGGTCATAGTGGAAATCATAATGATGGACAAAAGATTACTAATCATTTACGGTACGCATGGAGTAGACATGACAGCGGACATTTACCTATGGTAACTCTTCATCATCATCAAACTTTAATGCTGATGAAAGATATTCTCATAAAAAACAACTTGACATCTATATTAGGTTTATTACATAAATGATACATAGAATGGGAAATACACTAGGTTCATAAACTTATATAATTTTTATTCAGTAGCAGGCTTCATCTCGGCATATCTAAGTTATGAGCGATACCTGTGGAATAAGACTGTGTAACATTTGGAACGGAGAGCAGCTCAATTTTATTAAACTGGAACAGTACCAATATTTCGAAAAGTTTTGCGGGAAGTGAGAGAAAGTTCCATTTCCTTCGTTTAGGGATGGATGGAGATGGACGGGCGGATCGCTCGTTTGCATTACATTAAAATACATTTGCCTCTTTTGTGGAATTATTGCGAACAAACATTATATCTCACTTTGGTAAAACTTGTCTAATATTTCAATCAAAATCTATAAAGTACGTTATTATTGCTAAAAACAATGAATAATGTTTATTTTTTTGTAAAAAAAAAAAAAACGTATAATAACTTCCAAATTGAATTTTAGTCTTATTTCAAATTACATTTTATATTTTCGAAATTGCAATAGGAAAAATTAAACATAGTGCAGTAAACATTGTTTTTTTTTCTTGCATGCAGTAGCAGTAAATGCAGCCTTTTCATGAACAACGCAAAAAGCTATCCATTATTGGGGCGCGAACGACCTGTTGTGTAAGTGAAATCCGTAACAGTGAGTTCCGGGAAGACAAATATTGTGACAAAAGCCCGCCAACCCCGCAGCCCCGCAGCCCCGCAGCCCCACAACCTCGCAATCAGACTCGGACTAGTTATAGCGGACAGGCTAAAGCAAACAGACAGAAAGGGGCTCGAGTACGTATTACATTACGAAGGACAAGCCATACTTTATTCTTTAATTGCTATCCATAGAAGTTTTCGTTTAATTCTAACTATATTGTTATTATATCGTAAGGTGGCAAACAAGCAACCACCTTAAAATGCCAAACTGGCGAAGCGACCGCTACCCACAGATATTCGTAATAGCGAATGCATTGCCTACCCTTAAGCGACCTTAAGAACGTCCTGGCTCAAAAACCTACGCCAGTGCTATGGAAAAGGCCCCCTTTCACTCTTCAGAGCTGCGGTGTCTGGGCTGCGGCCTAATAATAGCCGACATTCGAAAGAAGATGGCACTTTAAGAAGAAGAAGCGACGGAGGAGGAGATGTACATAAGAGGATGTTTCCTAAGCGTCTCCTCCACCGTGAAATCCACGTTCCCTTCCCATTCTTTTCTTGTATAGAAAAAGGGACTAAAGTTAGGCCTATAATAAGTGCAATAGAAGCTACAATTTTTCCCATTCATGTTCCTCTATATTTGTTCGTAAAATTATAAATTTATTCTTAGATGTAGTTGAGTTTATCATTTTTTAAATCTCGCCTTAACTAAATATTTATCTCTTAGTTTTATTATGCATACTTTAATGGAATATGTTATCGATTTTATGCAGTGCACATGTATGTGGCGGTGTTGAAAATGAAGTGGTCGACGATGACCAAAGTGTTTCATCAAACGGACGAGTTGACCCGATTCGTTCCGTCTATCTCTATCCAATATGACCACATCAATATAATGCCGACAAAAGCGACGCCGGCTGCTACCGCTATGCTATATGACTGTTTGCTTGAATTTATTTTTACAATTTGTACTAGATGTAATAAATAAGGTTTTGTTTGTGAATAAAAAGAACTTTTGCGGACGGCGTTTGGCGTTTTGCGGGCGACATAAATCATTTTTGAACAAAATTATTGTTTTGGAAAAATTAATTGATTTATTGGATTAACACTTATTCGTTCTCTGAACATTCAAGAGTCAGTTTTTTTTAATAAATTTTACTCTATGTTCTAAACTAAACCACCTGTCATCAATCAAAATGTACCGAGTTACCATTAAAATAAGCTTAGACCAGGCCACTTGTAAACTTCAATACTAAATTCTCCACATGATGGATGACTACGATATGGGTACAAATTTGTATTTAATAACGTGACAGGTGTATGGGTAATTTAAAGGCATGGTCGTGGTACAAGCACATTAGCATAACGAACGTCCCGGTCTAATGAATGGGCTTGCAATTGAAACGCCAGTGGATTAGAGCCAACTACTTTATCTCTTTATGTAAATACAACAGTAATAAGCTAACAAGGTTCATAAGAGACCTCTTAAGAAATCTGACTCAAATTTTAAGTAAAATTTTTGTACATCTTAATTTTATTATGTTTGCTATTACATATTTTAAAAAGAGTATATCTTATGTTAATAACCTCACCAGAATAAGTCTGCGAGAGGATATACAGAGAAAATTAAGATATAAAGTATGTCTACCAATGAACTTGTATGTATACAATCTAGTAAATTTTCGTGCTAAGTCTCCAGATAATTCTAATTAGAAATATTCCAGACCAATTTTAAAACAATTTATGTTAATTACAAGTACTCATTTAATCTATTTCTTTTACTTTAAAATTCAATAACTTATTTTCAAACCAACATAACTTTAGTATACTAAATCTGTATAAAATCTAGAATAAAAAATATTCAAAATCTCCTATCATCCTCACTATTAGACTCAGTATTAAAACTGTACAGTAACAAAATTTACACTATAAAGAGCACAAAGGGGGTGCCATCAGAAAACTTCCTGCGTCTAAGATTGTTGCGAGGCGTTTATTGCTTTTGTCCCTTTCGTGTTAAATTTTCTTTACGGAGGACACTCGAACGGTGTCATTAAAACGCAGGAGCGTATTTCTCGTTTGTTTATGGTAATTGAGTTGACAAGTTGGGACGCTTTGATTCTGTACCGTGAGCCCACGCTCGCCACGCCAGTTTACTTTGCGATGTTGCCTTTACTAAATTCGTTAGTCAGCTCTAGGAAAATGTAGTTACTAGTAAATGGTCTAGGAAACTGTTCTCATGAAAAGCAGACATGTAAAGTAAATTAAAACTTACCTTTAACAAAGAAATATTACAAAAACCAAATAAAAATAAAGGACCAACCTGCCACCAGTACATTTTGAATTAAATAATTAGCAAAATCGATCTACCAGAGTGAAAGGTTATAGTCATAATAAAACAAACAGACGAATTGAAACCCACCTCCCTTTTGGAAGTCGATTAATTATGTTAAATGAGAAGTATATCACAATTAACCGCGTAGATCCTTAATTCTGTTTGTTGATCTTAACACATAGATGGCGCTATCTTCAAGATGTTACAATGTCTTATAATTATTTCGTCATAGAAAAACTCTGTATAATATCGTGTAGAATATCGTTGTATATGTCTCAAATTAAATAAAGGGGACATTTAAAACATTTAACCGTCGAGCAATAATACCAACAACGATTAAAACAATGCTGGCAAGGCTTCAATGCAAGTTGAATCGTCTCCAAGTTTTAAAAGAATTTTATTGAGCATAATAATAAATGCATACTTTGATGCGTGTTTACAACATAAAAATTTACAGAATTATATAATTTGACATTGGCTTATTATGCAAAAGAAAGTAGTCACTATCTATATCCATCTGGGGAAAAGAAACATTAGAGTAAAGTAGATGATGAAATTAGTCCAACTAAACAAATTTCTTATTTATATCGCCTTTCGTTTCTAATTCTTTATTTAAAAAAATAGGACCTAGTATGTGCATGTGAACAACAGATTTTTGTTCTTACTACGTTTTAATTTCACTGCATCTACAAAAACAGGTAATAAAGTTAACGTAAGCAATAAACACAAAGTTTTGGTTACCAGCGGTAAATTTCGTTAAGTCTTCATCGCTACAGTTATCAAAGGCTATTCCCTATGGACGCTTATAGAAAACGTACTTTGCTATGCAATATACATTTTATCAAGGGAAGGGTCCCCCGCTGAACCCGAGGCGTAAATCTTGCCTTTACGGCCTCACCTGTCGAAGGAATAATTTACTGCCGGCTTAAAACTTCCTCTCTAAGAGGAAATCCCAAACACTTCTCAAGAAATAACTGAATAAGAAATTTTCGATTGTGCGCGACGCAAGCCGCGAGCCTCGCCTGACAGCGGAGAAATTCAAACTTAAGCCTCCCCTAATGGATGGAATAAAATTTCAATTTTAATGTCGTGTTAAAGAAAATACAACTTAATTAACTTATTTTGTTAATCGAAACAATATTACGAAGGGATGAATCGCATGTAACAAGAAGGACGTTAGTTATGAGTGTATGAGGTACACCGGTAGAGGTAGATCTATAAAGAGATGGATGGATTGCGTGAAAGGAGACATCAAGAAGGGAGTGATGGCTGATGACGGATGATAGAGCTATTTGGAGGACGAAAACCCGGTGCGTCGACCCTACGGGAGAAGGATAAGGTATGGGAGGTGATGATGTTAATCGAAAAAATTGTGTAAAAACACTAAAATTTATACCGGTACTAATTACATCTCAATCATTGTTAATTTTCTTTACCTGTTAAACCGATAGCCAACTGGTTTTAAATCTCACCCGAGATTCTCCGACGTTTGGATTTTGACGGATTTTCAA